ATTTTAAAAATCATTAAGGATAGAGTTTCTTTCCTAATTTTTTCCAGCTTGTTATTATTGTGAAAAACATATAACCTGCTCTTTTCCATCTCAATGTGCATTTATAAGTGTGCAGTCCATGTTACCAACATTCAGGTTGGGCAGCCATCCCCACTGCCCATCTCCAGAACTTTCTTGCAAAACAGAAAACTGTCCCTCTGAAGTAATAATGTCCCATTTCCTCCTCCCCCGAGCCTGGCAGTTGTCATTATACTTTCTGTCTCTGTGATTTTGACGAATCTAAGCACCTCATATAAGTGGAACCACAGTATTTTATCATAACTGGTTTAATTCACTTAGCATAATGTCCTCAAGGTTCACCCATATTGTAGCATGTGTCAGACTTCATTCTTTTTCAAGGTCAACTAATACTCCATTGGATGTGCATACCACAGTTTGCTCATCCATTCATTCTTCTTGCGTGGATTGTCTCTATGTTTTATGTGAATAAATGTGCATAATTTATTCACAATGTGAATAATGCTGCTTGAACAGGGCTGCACAGATATCTCTTTTAGAATCTATTTTCAATTCTTCCAAAATCTCAGAAGTGAAACTACTAGATTATATGGTAATTCTACTTTTAAGGTTTTGAGGAACTACCTTACTGTTTTCCATATTTTTTGATGTAAGGATGCAACATCCTAGACTGAGGAGATTCAGACTTCTCAGCAACAAAGATCTGGATTTCAACCTGGATTCTGCTCTGAAGACAAGTCATTTAGCCTCACTGAGCTTTGGTTCTTCATCCATAAAGTGGGGATAATAATAACCACCTCTAACGGGTGTAAAAATTAGAGGTGATGTAGGTAGAAAGAAGGCAGCGTGGTGCTGTAGGTGTGCAATAAGTGTCATCTGTGTTATTTTTACTTAACATTTCCCCACAGGGCCGTGTTCATCTTCCACCATCCTTCTGTTTCTGTAGTGTTCTCTTTTTTAATAGTGTCATCTTGTGTTCATCTCATATCCCACATGCACGATCTGTTAGCAGAGGCAAAGGAGACTGGCACACACTTCCTGGCAGTCCCTAACTCCCCTGTTTCCTTCTGTGTCCACTTCCAAACCTTGAGTTCTTGTCCATCATTTCTCAGCCATGACCTTCTCCTCCCGGGTCATCTTCCCATCACAGTCACTTTCAATCTGCTCAACAACCTGCTGATGAATTAATTTTCTGAAATCACTGCTTCCCTTATAGCACGCTCCTGCTCTAAACTTTGTGTCAGAGTTCTGTTTCCTACAGACAAGGGGCAAGTCTCTTATCTGGGCATGAAAGACCCTCTACAGATGTCCCAAGCAGCCCTCTGCCTCGTCCCTGCCCATGCTTGTGTCCCCACAACACTCTTGTCTTCCTCCTCCCTGTGGGAAGAGGATGGGATTCAAGAGTCAGCCCCATCACCTTCACCTCTGCAAACTTGGCAAGCCCTAAGCCTGCTTCTTCCTCACTACTCTGGGGGCTCCTGAGGGCAGGAACTGGGTCAGGTTGTTGAACGAGTCATGAAAGAGACTTAGGTGTTGCCACCCAGACTCATCCCCAGCAAACTTTCTGTATTTTCACTGGATTGTCCATTTGGACCATCGCAGTGATAGTGCTGAGACTTAACCCCTAGGCCACCAGGGAGGCCCTATAATTGTCCATTTGATAAGAGTGGGAGAGCACCTTTGCCTTCCAAACCTAGGGCCACCCAAGCTTAGCACCTGGAACACAGATGGGCTGGGTAATGAGTGGGTTGACCTTGAATCCATGATTCTCATACTTTAAGAGCATTGTCAGTATTTGAGAAAGAGAGAAACTTGCCCAGAGTTGCAGATTCTTTGGCCTCCCCAAAGACTTTCAGTGGCTCTCAGGTGGGACCCAGGCATCTGCATTTTTAACAAACAACACAGGTGATGGTGCAGATGCTCTGAGGTTGTATTCACACTGGCTGCACTTTTTTGGGCCCCCAAGGCCACCTATGTGTATCCCTACTGTATACAAGGCACTGTGCACAGGTGTGGGCTAAGAAAGGTCACCTAGAGAGAGACAGTGGGAGCCAGTGGGCAGGAAGGGCCATGAAAAGAGAGCCAGGAGGGAGGAAAAATGATGCCCAGGCTGCTTTCTCAAGGAGTGGGAACTATAAGAAGCAGGAAAGTGAGAAAGGTCACTGGTCTATCGGCTGATTCTCCAAATGGCCTGTGTTCTTATCTGGATCTTCTTTTACCAGTCATCTCCTCCTGTGTGCCAAGGTGGGGCTGTTGGCATCAGATACGATGGGTTAATGCCTGCCTGTGATCATGACCTTGTACAAAACATTTCTCTCTCTCTCTCTTTTTCTCATGTAACTGAATGATGGGAAGGTACATTATTTCACAGAAACATTGAGGAGTACAGACTTCTCTGCTTCACGCACTGTGAACTGTTTGTGCCTATCCTGTGGCTTTGGTAGGGCAGAGAAATGACTGCTCATTTATCAACTGAGTCCCTGCAACTTCCACAGGATGCGCTCATCTGGTAATACATGCTGGCAGGCAGTCAGAGGGGAAATGTAAGAGGATTGAACTTGATGTTGTAAGTTCTGCTTTTGACTGCCTCTGATTTTAATTTTTTTTGAAACAATAAAATATATTTTAAACCTGATCCCAACATTAGTGACCCCAAATCATTTCTGATAGAATTTCTGGTCTTCTGACCTCAGGAAAATCACTAAGGCCCTTAGAGTCTCCATATTTACATTGAGGAGTTAGACCAGATTGCTGATGTCTTTTTCAGATCTAAAATTTGAGAGTTTAGGTGGCTTAAGCATCAGGTTGATGATGAAAGGCTTTGCTTGGATCTCCTGATAAAAGTATCAGGAATCACATCACATTCATACCTTGAGAACTAAGCACCAAGAGAATCAATATTTCTCTCTCAGACAAGATTTCTGCAAAGATATTGAAGTTCTTGGGTCTCACCATGTGTGTGTCTTAACATGTAGGTTTTATTATTATTTAATCATGATGAGGCCACTACACAGAAGAGGATGATTATTAAAGATTGTTTGTAACCTAAGAGACGAGGGCACGGCAGGCCTTGGGAGTCTCATGAAGAACCACCAGGCCAGTCCAGGCGCACAGCTATGAGGGGAAGGAACGCAGCGGTAGCTTTACTGTGATTTCCGTGGGAAGTCAAGGGCAAGACATGGGAACAGGCTTAGATCTGGCTAGTTTGAACAATTTCAGGGACTAAAGGCTGAGCTAGTTTATCAATACAGGGGGAATGTGGCTCAGAGTGAGGGAGCCCAATAAACGAGGTGGTAGGGGTGTGGGCTCTGGTTGGCTGGCTTGCATATGGAAGTCCTATACTGTCCACAGGAGTCAGCTAGCCCTGGAAAGGGCAGTCTGTCTAGGATTAGCAAGTCCTCAGATGGCAAAAGTTCAGAAACACCTAGTTAGATACTGTGGTGGGCAGAATAACACTCCCTCCAAGATGTCCACACTCTGCTCCCCAGAAACTGTGGGTGTGTTACCTTGCAGAGTAAAAGGTACTCTTACAGATATGACCAAGTCAAGGAACTTGAGAAGGGGGATTTCTGTGGATTATCTGGCAGAGCGAAGCCAAGCTTCCTTACGAGGAGGCAAGAGGTGGAGTCATTGAGAGATGCAGCATGGAAGCCAGAGTCAGAGCAAAGGGAAGATGCTGTTTTTTTTTTTTTTTTTTTTTTTTTTTTAAGATTTATTTATTTGTTTATACAAGCACTGGGGGCAGTCAGAAGCGTGGGAGGGTGAGAGAATTCACCAGAACCAGAGCAGGGAGCAGAACAGGCAGACTGACGAAGTACACTGCTGAGGGGAGCAGAGGGTGCGGCAGGAGAGGTCTGCGCGCCCTATGTGACCCTCGCCGGCGGCCGGGGATCGAACCAGCGCTGCAGAGACTGCAGGCAGCTTCGCAGCCCAGCGCTCAACCTCTGTGCCACCAGGGGAGGCCCTGCTCTACTAGTTTTGATGATGGAGGAAGGGACCCCAAGCCTAGGAATGCAGGTAGTCTCTAGAAAGGCAAAGAAACCTATGCCCCCTAGTCTCCAGGAAGGACCCAAGCTTGAGACTATTTCAGTTTTCTGACCTCCACAATTGTGACTGTATTTGTGCTGCGTTGAAGTTCTAAATGTGTGGTAACATGTTACAATAGGAAGCTAATAGCGTTAGGGAGACGGTCAGCTGCCTTGCAAGGTGGTTGTGAGATCAGAGCCCATGTGGGAAGAGCCTGGCTCAAGGAAGACCTCAGTAAACCTAACGATAGCACCCACACAGCTCTGGGGAGTCTTCTATGAGGTAAGGAACATGGACAGATCTACCACATTGCTCGATGCCTATGGCTACAAAATAAATCACAGGCTCCTTGTCCTGCCCCTTGCAAGTGTTGGGGGAACCTTGTCAAGGAAGGGTTTTAGGAGGTTTGCCCTGACTGTGCTCTCAATTCTGCAGGCTCTGGCAGTGGTGGGGAGGTGGGGAGGGAGGATGGGGCGTCTGCTCCTCCAGACCCTTAGCAATCTCTATGTGTGGTAGGCGGTCATTTCCTGCATTTGTCTCTGTGGGTGCTTCAGTGTCACCCCAGTGACATGGGCTCCTGCTTCCAAACACTTTGGCCTTTAGACTCCGCCACACAAGGTTGGTGCCCTTTGCACCTGCTGCTGTTGTCCTGGCAGGAGACTCCCTGGTGCTCCTCAATGGCAGGCCATCTCCTTGTGTGATGTCTGAGTTTCCTCAAAGGCCCCAGCACTGTCCTGAGTCCTTGGTAGTCCCGTGTCATGCCTCTTCAGGGGGTCCAGTGGCCCTCTCTAGCATGGGGGCAAGAGGCGGTGGGTTGAGCAGGAAGGTATTGGGCCCCAGCCCTTTCCTCTCTGAGCTCTCAAAGGGCAGGTAGCTATGCCCCTGGCTAGTAACGAGCATGCATGCCCCCTCTCTCCCAGCACCCTCAGACGGTTGTCCCCTCCGACCTTTCACAGGGACATTCGTCTCAGCCTTCACTGTGTTGTGTGGAGCCCGCACTGACCTCCCAGACAGGCACGTGTGCTGCGTCTTCTGGCTGAACATCGCTGCGGCCCTCATCCAGATCCTCACGGCCATCGTCATGGTGGGCTGGATCATGAGCATCTTCTGGGGCATGGACATGGTCATCCTTGCCAGTGAGTAGCTGCCAGCACCCCACCCCTTTGTGTATCTGGGGCTGGGTGGGATTCTTGGAGTAGGACTGGAGGAGGGGCAGGGCCAGGACAGTCTGGCCTTTTATGATCCTGCAGGGACACCTGCATGGCTGGGCCCGCTCCTTCCCTCAGGGCTCACCTGCGTCCTCCCTAGAGCTGCCTGGCCTGGCCGGCCCTCTCCACAGACTCAGCCCTGACTCCTGCTTGAGTCCAGACAGGTCTCGAGGCCTATGTCAGAGGTATAAGAGCGGGAGAGACATTTTGAGTATCACACTGGTCAAGGCCACTTGGTACATTTACCTACAAGAAACCCCATAACGGTGTTCTTTATAGCCTGAATAGCAGCCCCCTTCAAATTTTATTGGATAAATTAACATACGTCACTAAGTAAGTTAAAGGCATACAGCATGATGATTTGACTTACATGTCAAATTGACTTACATGTCATTGTGAAATGACCACAAGAAATTCAGTTAACATACACCTTCTCATATAGATAGAATAGAATGAAAAGAAAAAGAGGGAAAAATCTTTTCTCCTTGAGATGTGAACTCTTAAATTTGCTCTCTTAACACTTTTCCTACATATCATACAACAACGCTAGCTATAGTTATGTGAATATTACATCCCTGATGCTTATTTAGCTTATAACTGGAAGTTTGTACCTTTTGACATCTTCATCTAATTCCCCCTTTCCTCATCCTCATCCACCTCGGCTGACAGCAAGTCTGATTTCTCTTTCTATGAGCTTGGTTTATTTGTTTGTTTTGGATTCACACAGTATTTGTCTTTGTCTGACTTATTTCACCTGCATAATGCCATCAAGGTACATCCCTTTGTTACAAATGGTAGGATTTTCTTGTTGTTTTTTAATGGCTAAATAATATTCCATCGTGTGTGTGTGTGTGTGTGTGTGTGTGTGTGTGTGTGTGCGTGTGTCTAACAGCTTTCTTACCCGTTCATCCAATGACAGACACTTAGATTGTTTTTATGTCTTGGTCTTTGCTATTATAACTAATGTTACAGTGAAAATGGGGGTGCAGATATTTTTTGAGTTAGTGTTTTGAGTTAAAATTTATAGGTCAATTTTAATTTTATGAGGAACCTCCATACTGTTTTCTATAGTGGTTGTACCAGTTTACAATCCCATCAACAGTGCACATATTTTAGCTAGGCTATTTGATTTTTTTTTTTTGTGATTGAGTGGTATGAGTTCTTTATATTTTTTTGGATATTTACCCCTTATCAGATACATGCCTTGCCAATATTTTCCCCCATTTTCTAGGCTGTTTTTCACTTTGTTGATGGCTTCTTTCACAGTTAAGAACCTTTTTAATTTGATGTAATCCTACTTGCTTATTTTTTATATTGTTTGTGTCCAAGGTGCCATATCCAATGAATAATTAGCAAGGCCCATATAAAGAGACTTTATTATTTTTTTCTAAGAGTTTCATGTCTTACATTTAAGTATTTAATCCATTTTAAGTAAATTTTTGTGAGCTTGGTAAAATAGGGGTCCAGTTTCATTCTTTTATATGTGAATATCCAACTATCTTAGTTGTGTTTATTGAAGAAACTATCTGCTTATTGAGTATTTTTGGCTCCCATGTCAAATAGTAGTCTATTTCTGGGTTCTTGATTCTGTTCCATTGGTCTGTTTGTCTGTTGATATGTTAATACCATACTCTTTTGGTTACAATAGCTTGAAATCAGGAAGTGAAGTGTGATGCTTCTTGCATTGTTCTTCTTTCTTAGGATTTCTTTCATTAGTCATGGTTCCACATAAATATTAGGAGTATTTTTTTTTATTTCTGTAAAAAATGCTATTGGAATCTTGACAGGGATTGCATTGACTCTCTAGATGACCTTTGGCAGTATTGACATTTAACAATCTTAATTCTCCCCACCCATGAACACAAGAAATATTTGCATTGATTTGTGTCTTTTTCAGTTTCTTTCTCTGGTGTCTTATAGTTTTTATCTCCTTAATTGAATTTACTCCTAAGTATTTTATTGTTTTTTTATATTATTATAAATAGGATCAATTTCTTTCTTAGAAAATTTTGTGTTAGTGTATAGAAATACTACTGACTTTTGTATGTCTGTTTTGTATCCTACAACTTCACTTATTGAATTCATTTATTAGATCTAATAGTTTTTTTTGGTCGAATTTTTAGGACTTCTACATATAAAATCATGTCATCTGAAAATAGAGAAAATTTTACTTTTTCCTTCCCAGTTCTGATATCTTTTATTTCTTTTTCTTGCCTGATTGTTCTAGCTAAGACTTCCAGTATTATGTTGAATATAAGTGGTAAGACTGAGTATTGTTGTCTTGTCTCTGAACTTAGAGGAAAACCTTTCAAACTTTATGGTGTTAGCTGTGATTTTGTCATATGTGGCCTTTATTATGTTGAGATATATTCCTTCTATGCTTCATTTATTAAAGAGTTTTTGCTTCAGTGAATGTTGAATTCTGTCAAGTGCTTTTCTGTGTCTATTGAGATGATCATATTATTCTTTTCTCTCATTATATTAATGTGGCATATTACACTGATTGATTGTGGGTGTTGAACCATCTTTCCATCCACTTGATTATGTTGAATGATCTTTTTAATATGCTGCTGAATTCTGTTTGCTAGTATTTTTTTTTGAAAATCTTTGCATTGATTTTCATCAATACTACTGGCCTATAGTTTTCTTTTCTGATTTTGCTACCAGGATAATAAGGACCATGTAAAATGAGTTTGAGGCTGTTCCTTCCTCTTCAGTTTTTTTTAGAAGAGTTTAAGAAGAATCAGTGTTAATTTTTCTTTAAACATTTGGTAAAATACAGCAGTGAAACCATTTAGTCCTGGGTTTTTCTTTGTTGGGTGATTTTTGATTACTGATTCACTCCCCTTATTAGTAATTAATCTATTAAGATTTTATATTTCTTTTCATTCAGTCTTGGCATGTTGTATGTTTCTAAAAAAGTTTTCCATTCTTTTAGGTTGTTCAGTTTGTTGGTGTATAGTTGTTCATAGTAGCCTCATATGATTGTTTGAATTTCCGTGGTGTTAGTTGTAATATCTCCTTTTTAAATTTAATTTTGTTGATTTGAGTCTTTTCTATTTTTTTCCTTGGTTGGTCTAGATAAGGGTTTGTCAATTTTGTTTATTTTTTCAAAGAACCAACTTTAATTTGGTTATCTTTTTTTTTTACCATTTTCCTGCTATTTCATTTATATTTAATATTTCTTCTGCTGACTTTGGGCTCAGTTTTTTCTTCTTTTTTCTAATCCCATAAATTGTAGAGTTAGGTTGTTTATTTGGAATCTTTCTTGGTGCAGTGTTGTAAATGTAGGTGTTTGTTGCTGGAACTTTCTTTTTAGAACTGTTTTCTACATCATGAAAGGTCTGGTATTTTATGCTTTTATTTTCATTTGTCTCAAGAAATTTTCTTATTTCCCTTTAACTTCTTCTTTGACTCATTAGTTGTTAAGGAGAATTCTATTTTATTCCCATGTGTCAGTTAATTTTCTAGTTTTCCTCTTGGTGTTGATTTTTAGTTTTGTGGCATTGTGGCAAGAAAAGATACTTGGGATGATTTAAGTCATTTTGAATTTGCTAAGACTTGTTTTGTGGTCTGACATATGGTCTATCATAGAGAATATTCCATGATTGTCTTGGAAAAGAATGTGTATTTCTGCTGCTGTTGGATAAAATGTTCTTTATATGGCTGTTAGTTTTGCTTGGACTATTGTGTAGCCTGCTTCTTTTAACCAAGCTCATTGTTCACTGCATTGAGTAGACCTTCCCCAATCATTTAACACAAACTTGATTATACACAAAACTGTTTTGTGAAAGGGCTTAATGCCACAAAATCAAGTTTACCAAAGATGACTTAACATTTTCAAAATTTCCTAGCAAGATCTTAAAACAGACACCACTTTTTTTTAAGCAGCCATGTACATCTCTCTGCCCTGATCCATGTTCCTGCTCTGTCTACCTCATTAGTCCACTGTTCCTCACAATAAGGGCCATACCTCTTCAAGCATTGCACCCATCTATCCACACCTCAGCTCCTCATTTTGTTCTATACCCCATGAAACTGTTCATAGGTGGAATTGTCAGTGCCAGAGGTAAGCTGTGCCAGGTAAGAACAGCAGAGGCACAGGGATAGCCCAGAGTTTCAGGGAGCCCTGAAATGACACAGGATGATTTCTGGCCAACTCAGCCTGAGTTCAGGATCCTCTGAGGATCCAAGGGTCAATGAAGTCTTCAGGTCAGTGACCCACCAAGCCACTAGGCCAGAGAAAATCAAGGCTTAAGTGAGCTGCAGCAGAGCCAGCATGTTGATTAGACAGGCTGATTTGAAACAGTGACTGGAGCAGCAGAAGTTGGTCAGCTGGACTATCAGGTTATCCCAGAGTCTGAACAAACTAAGGATTTTCTGGGAGCCAAGGCCAGTTAGAAAATGGGGTGAGGGACACCAAACTGGCCAGTGGCTGAGGGGTGTCCTGGCTTTAGGGAGGACACTGACCCATCAGGGAGGGCATGCAGAGCAGGCAAAGACTAAGGTGGGCACATTCAGCTCCCACATGGAGGCTTCACTCAGTAAGCATGTCCAGGGGCACTTTCCAGTTGTGGGGAGGGATGCAGAACATTGCGGACAGTAAAGAAGTCCTGCAAAGTTTGGCAGTTTCCCAGAGGAAATTTGATGCTTCCCTAGGGGCCTGTTAGACAGCCTGCAGGCTCCCAGCCTTGGTGTCAGGTATAACTGGGAAGGGGTATCTGCCCTTGGAAGCTTCCTCTGCAACAGTCAGGAGGCCTGTGAAATCTGCCCCATCTCCACCCATATGTGCCCTGATGCCTTCTTACTGCTTAATTTCCTCTTTGCACCCAAGTCTGGCCAGGAGCTTGGGCATTTTAGTAAGGAAACTTCCTATTAGAGTGGAATAGTCCTATATCACAGGTGGGTCTCGATAAGTGTGTATTGATGCCTAATTTGATCTCTTGAGTGTTCTGGTATTCTCGCCTTTAGTCATACTCAATAACTAGGAACCACCTGACCTGGGTCTCAGAGGTAACTTCAAGAGACTAGAAAATGGAGACCCTGAGAACTTGTGGCCACTCCCTCCCTTTCTGTCACCCAAGCTCTTGATTTAGCCAAAACCCCTCTTCTAGGACTGGTATGGGCAGCTTAACTGGGCTACAGGATAATGAAGTGTGAGAAGCCTCCAGCCCTTTGCTACCCTCCCCCTCCCCTCAAGTCTTCACTGTGGGTCAAGGTCAGCAACTTGGATGTTGGATTGGTGGTTGTAGGGCTGCTGTCTTTGTGTCAGCCTTTACTTTTTCATTGAAGTAACCTTCATTGTAGCATCGTATAGGTTTCAGGTGTGCATCACTGTAAATCAACACCTGTATACATGGCATTGAGTTCATCACTAAAAGTCCAATTCCATCCTTCACATATAACTGGTCCTTTTTACTCAATTTACCTCCTGGTAACCACTCACTTGATCTAATAATCTAAAATTTTGTATTTATTTTATTGAGTTCATTTGTTTGCTTTGTTTCTTTAGGTACTACACAGGAGTGAAATCATAGTTTGTCTTTCTCCTTGTGTCAGACTTTTTAGAACACAATGTGGGGAAGGGACTTGAGAAATGCACGAGAAAGCCATAGACTCCTCACTGCTACCCACTCGCCCTGCCTGGTTTCCAGACTCACTCACCCACCTCAGCAAGAGGAGGTACCTCTGCACTTTTTCACGCTCCAGGATAAGTAACGAGCAGCTCTTGAGATGGTGTGGTAGGTGGATCAGTCTGAGCAATGGCAGAGTGGTGTGTCCTGCAGTGACTGCTTAGAAGGAAAGGGCCACAATTGACTTGTCTGTCCTTGTAGATAGTTTTTAGGGGTTGTTCTTTCTGGTGTCACACCAGCCCCTTCCTGTAAAAATAAGGGAAACTTTTCCATTATAACAACACAAGATAATTTTTCGCAGCATTGTCTAGGGTGTTAACAAGATGTATCATCAAGAAAAACTCTGAAGGGGAGAATCAGAGAAAAGGAAACTGAAGTAGAAGTTACAATGGGGTGCTTACAAGCATACTGTTCTATTTATATTAGTAACAACAAATAACAGACAACGAAGTCTGTCTGGGTCATGGATCATTCACTATTTGATACTTCTGCAGTAGCCTCTTTCTAGTGCCATGCCCAGGGCAGACATTACTAATTGATCACAACACTTTCTGCTCAACAGCCTTCCTTGTTCTCAACACAGGGCTCAGGGAGTCACTACCAATTGATCCCGGCTATCTGCAAAATAAAATCTTTGTTTTCACAAAACATTAGCTTTGCTATATATGGCTTATGTCCCTATAAAGGGTGAACCACGTGACTCAGACAGAGCTGGGCAGGAGCCAGGAAAGGTCTTGTCATCACCTTTGGACAGTAAACTTGTCCTGTAGCTATTTCTCCTCAGTTTCATCTGGAATCATATAAAGGTAAACATGAGCTGAAGGTTAAAAAAGAGTGAGGGACAGGTAGTTAGAAGTGTGGGTTTGGCTGAGATATGGAGGGCAGGGCTGTGTTGGAGAGGACTTCTTGGCAGTGTCTCCTGGGGAGGGGAGGCCCTTGCTGACTGCTGGCCACAGAGGCTGGTTGCTGTGAATCCTGGTCTGTCCAAATCTGAACCTGAGCTTCATCCCATCCCTCAGGTCCCACATGCATCCTCCCTCCTTAATATTTCAGGCAGTCCCTCTGGCCTATATTTTCAGATGGTGTTTTCTCTCTTCCTTTTTCTCCTCTTGCTCATGCTGCCTCACATCCCTGTGTTGCCTCAAAGTCTCTCAAGGTAAGTCTGTTGGTGGAAGACATGGTTTTGCACTAGGGTGCCCCTTACACACAAACACCCCCTTCCCAGTTGGCCAGTCAGTTTTTATATGTAGATTTTTGTTTTGGAAAATGTTTAAACATAAACAAAAGTAGACGGCCTAGTACAATAAGTCCCTAAACGCCCACACCAGCTTCAGTTAACTCCAGGCCTCTGTTGTCTCATGTATCATCACTTCCTATCTTCCCTGCACTTGCTCTCAACCCCAGAAGCTAAAATTAATGAATCATCTGGTAAATAAAGAGAAAAAAACAGTTAAGTCCACCAAGACCCTCATGGGGGTTACCCTACCAGCAATAGGGGGTAACTGAACAGCAAATTCCAGACTCATAATTTCACCCCTAAATATTTCAGCAGGTTTTTTTTTTTCTTTTTTTTAGTGTAACCACAGTACTCATTCGCACCCAAATACTTTAGCAAGAATGGCCAAATTTTCCCAAATGTCTCATAATTATTGGCAATGTTAAAGACTTGGAGAAGTCCCCTTGATTCAACAAATATGCATGATTATGCCCTTTGGTGCATTGTCTTTCTCCTCTCTGTCCACACCCACCAGATTCCCGTCACTTGGGGAAGCCTGCCTGGCATCTGTTTTCAAGACTTTGCATTGGAAAACCACGCCACGCCAGTCTATTGAGGCCGCTTTTGTGCAGTGGCTTCAGGGGTGTGGATAGCTTCTGGGAGTGGATTCCGGAGGACACAAATAAACTGTGCACCACAGACACCCTCTTCTCATATTCCCATTAAACCCAAAGTTTCACGATTTTCCACTTATCCTTTCGTTTGTCATGTTAAAGCCAGTGCCTTGGGACTCTGACTGTGGCAATCATTTACACCTTAGTGTGAATAAGGTCGCAGGAGCATATTCTAATCTGGGGAACCAACTAGAGAAATCCTGAAGGAAGTCAGTGTCTAACTATCTCTCCTCTGCTTATTCATCACAGGCTACAAGGAGCAAGGCATTCCACAACAGCTGTGAGCCTGTGGCAGCCGCCAAAAAGTCCCTGAAGGTTGCACGAGGCAGCGATGGACACAAGGACCTTTACATGTTTTCTTCTGCTGTTTTCTGGGTTTGGAGTGGAAAGGGGGGTTTAAAAAATACTACCAATTTTGAAAATGCATCTTTTTTATCAGTAGGCTGAGGGCTGCTAGCCTCTCCCCTGGCTCCAGAAAACCCTGTGGGCATAGGTACCCAGAGCATCTCCAGTGAAGTGGGGTGGAGACGGGCTGCTGACAGAGGCTGGGATTCTCCGGCTTGCCCTGCCCCACATCGGCCCTGCCTTGCAAGGGCACACCAGAGCTGCCAGCGGGGCCTCACCATGGGGCAGCGCTGTGGTGGACACTTCCTCTGGGGCCCCTGGCCTGCCAGAGTGGTCATCCATCAGGGTAGGGATGTAGATGGACAGACTCCAGCCCAGTGTTCTCAGCTGCAGGGTGGGGCCTTCCCCAGGGGCGTCTTCTGGCCCCACCCCCATCACCGCAGCCCCTATCTTTGTGTGTTTTGAGCTTTGTTTCCCTGGGAAGGAGGCCAGTGGGGCAAAAACTGCTGGACTCTCCAGATGTCCACAAAGAAACCCAGGTCTGACTGGACACGGGCTGGCAACTTTTCACATTCGAGAGAACAGTTTCTGCTCCACAGACCTTTGTGTGAAATCCTTGGGGCCGATGGGTCTCTGATTTTCAGACATTTTGGGTGTTAGGAAGAGAATGGGAGACAGTCACTATACATCCCCTAACAGTCTGACAGGGCTGGGAATGCTCCCCGGCATCAGACACATGACAGTTTCTGTGCAGAAATGTGAACAGTCAGATTAATTGAGATTTATAGAAACTTTCAATAGCCTCACCTAAGTTCAGGTTGGATTTTGTCACTATGTAAGTTGTGGGAGCTAATGCACCATTTGGAGCTTTCATGGGGGTTTAGAATTATAGGGAAAACAATTTTGTGGGGTTGTGGACCTGTGTCTTGTAATAGATGCATTAGGAAGAGACTATTGGGGTTACACAAGGATTCCTCCCTCTGCAGAGGGAGTAAAAGGCAGCTCTGTAAGTGCTTGAATTCAAAGGAGGGGGGAGCCACCAGAGGTTGCCCAGGCCACTGTGATCAAGTATCCATCTGAAATTAAGAGAAAGGGGATCTGAAGCTAAAGTGACAAAGTGTGGACATTTACATGGTGGTCTATTTTCTGTTTCAGTCTAATGTAGGGAGCACTAGAATGTGAGACTGTTCAGGAACCAAGTTCTCACCGGACTGGACTTTGCGCTGTTGGCTTCCCTGCCTGTCAGGGACTCAGAACTCAGCCAAAAGTGGAGGAGTCACATCTGTGCGGTCATTTTCTCCATGCTAGATGGGACTGGTTGGAGAGCTCACAGTCAGACAGGATCTGGGCCTGGGGATCCACAGAGTTGGGAACCCCTCCAGGCACTCACCCACGCCTGGGCTGGGATTCAGATGCTGAGGCCCTGCTCCTGGCCTGTCCTACTCTGCCGTCCACCCCTTTTCCTATCTGGGGTGTGTTTGCACTTTTAGAACAGCTGGCCATGTCTTTCTCTCTCCCTGTCCTCCCTTCTTCCGGACCCCAACCCAGGCCTCATGTTTGGAAGCCTCTGTGTTTTCAGGCATGAGACCAGATTTGATTTTGTTCAGAAAGTCAAACCCCTTCTCTGTGTGAAGACAGTGTCTCAGGCTGAGAAGAGAGCAGGCTCCTGAGGAAGCTGCATCGGAACAGAGCCTCCCCTAGAATCACATGAAACAGCTCCAGCTGAGGGCAGTAAAGGCTCAGCCCCCTTCCCACGGCCCACCAACCCACAGCCCTTCACCCCAAACAGCTCCCCAAATTTGTCTGTTCCCCCCAGTGATGACAGGCCTCAGGTGGGGGCTGCCCCCATGAGTGAGAGAGGGGGATCGTCTTTTCCTGCCTTGGCCTGGGGGTGGCTGCTGAGGGGGTAGAGAAGAGATAGCAATTTATGCCGCATGTTTAGTGACACAATCCAGACCCAGGTGGGATTTTCTTGAGTGACAGGTGTCACCACGAGTCCCAGTGTGGGATGGCTAAATACTGGGATTTGTGTGCCAGAAAGGACCTCTTTGCTCCACAAACCCATACCGCAGTTCCTCCCCTCACCTGCAGGCTGCTTCTTCAAACTTGAGAAGAGCCAACCTCAGGGAGAAGCCTCTTTCCTACCCATCCAGGTAACTGATGCTGAACAAACCAAGAGTACCCCCACCTGTCTTCTGGACAATTGAATCTGTGAGGATTGCCAGCTCAAAATGGCGACCTCTAAATTAGACCAACAAATGGTCTCGGCAGCCCTGTCTTCATTAGATAAGAGTCAGTGACTAGTGGATTCCAGGCGCTCTGAGTAGCTACTCGGGCTGGGAGATGGCCAGAATTAATTTGTTAAACACCAGTCAGCTGGAAATTAGGCTTGTCCTGCCAGAAAGCACTTGCTCAACACACAGCCCTGGGCCTGCCTGGATGACACAGCATGTGGGCAGTGGTCCAGAAGGCACAGGGCACTTTTCAAGTTGGGCCTCTCATCCATCAGGGTTCTGTAGGACGTTCCCTGGCCATGGGTGTTTGGGGCAGGCATCACAGGCAGGCAGAAAACTTCACAATGAATGAGATGCTTCCAAACCCAGTGGTGACACTTGGATCAAAGAGGCAATTTCCTTGGGCTATAGCAGGACCCTGGAGCAGGAATGCACCACCTGGCAACCTGTGAGTGTCCTGCGGGCAGCTGAAACTGTTCACCTGGAATTTAGCTCTGAGTCTATTTGGAAGCCAAGGATTCAGCCAGGAAGGCCAGGGCCCCCATGGGAGCAGCAGGAGGCCAACGGCTAATGTCCCGCCTGCCATGGTGCTGGGGGCTGCAGGCTGGAGCCACATGGCTTGGTTCCCCTCCCCCCTCCAGCCCCTATCTGACCAGCAGCCAGCCTGACAGTGGAGCCAGTCTCGGAGGGGAAGTTGAGTAAGATGCCCTCCCCCTGCTGTGGCAGACCTCTTGTCAGCCCAGTGTCCAGGGCAGCCTTCAGATGTTGGATCCTTGCCTGGGCATAGTGAGGCACATTTTCCCTCCTAGACCCCACACTGCCTGACACAGGCGAGCAGTGTGCTGAGTGTTCAGATGTCAGTCTGAGGCTGCAAATGAGGAGGGTGAAACCCCAAACATGGGGTGCAGCTGAGCCACAGTCTGTGTCAAAGTCCTACCTTGGGAGAGAGGGTCTTACAGGGGGCTCAGGTCTTGGATGGGGGACACTCAGAAGCAAATGTAAAACCTCAGCGAGAACCTGAAGACCTCGACAACACACCCGTGCTCGGCATCTTGGGCAGCTCGGAAGCCGCTGTCCCTCCTGGAGGGCAGGCCCAAAGGTGCCCCTCGTGGCCATGGAGGAGCATGCGCTGGCGGGAGCTGGCGTCAGGGGCCACCTGGTCCTACCACACAGGACCGTCTCTCGCTGTCCCCACCTAGGGCTCTGGCCACTCTGACCCTGGAGGAGGTGGGTCCTGGAGTTCAGCTTCATGCGGACGTTGAGGGCTGAGGAGCATTGGGGAGCACCGTGGTAAAAAGGAAGTGCAGAAAGAAAAAGTCACGTGGCTAACATCGCCCCTCGAGGCGACAGGGCCCTTCCCTCAGAAGAAACACCAAACACAGACCTCAGACACAGAACCCTGCTGCCCCCTCAAGGTAGGGCTGAACCCCAGGACCAGGAGACAGACACAGACCTCAGGCTTTCCAGAAGGAAGACAAAGGTGAACTGACAATGGTTCTTCTGGACCAGCAGAACCTTTAAGATCCAAAAATGCAATCTAAACTGCTTTCTTGAGCGAACCCCCATCCCTGCCCAGATGGGGTGAGTTTGTGAGGGTCACTTCAGTTTTGCCTGGAGCCAGGTCCTCCTGGATCCTTGGGCCTGGCCAGAAAGTTCCCACCTGGCTCCAGGGCCCATCTCGAGTTTCCAGACACCGGCTGTTTTCACCCAGCTGGCAAAGGAAGCCTCCTGCATGGTGAGAACTGCTCCGCGTGTGTAATTTAAATGTAAATTCTCCAGCTGGTGGTTGCAGACATTGTTTGCTGTTATTATTACTTCCTCTTGCTGGTGTGTTTGGAGGTGAATGAGCACTTTCAAAGCCACACTGACCTCCCTGGAGACTCTGACCCTCTACCTTCTGCTGACACTGCCGCCACGGAGTCCGGGACTGAGGCTGAGCAGAAAGGGCTGCCTCGCCTCTCCACAGCCTCCCCGCGCTGCCTCTTTTGTGTTCATGCATCGGCAAGGACTCAGCGGGCAGTGCTGTGGGCCAGCGGGGCACGGGCACAGCCTCAGAGAAACAGATCAGAGATGCTGCTTTCCAGGGAAGTGGCCAAGCCCTTGACGTCACACCCTGAGGTCCCCCGTGTTCACAGGTAAAACTGCAAGGTGAGCACAGGTAGTTAAGGGGACACAGGTTCTCCAAGGACCCAGGCTTCCTCTCCAGAGGACTCCGTGTCTCTTGTAGGGGGAGAGGAGGTGAGTCTGACGAGGATAGGGCGGCTGTGGTCAGCCTGAGCGGGGGGGGGGGGGGGGGGGGGGCTATATCTTCCCCGGTGTTCTTCCAGGTAGATTCTTAGAGATGCAGAACGTCACAGGATCACAGAAGCGTGGAAGCTTGGTTTGTCAGAGATTCCCCCATATGCCAAGTGGAAATAGGAAGATCCCTTGGTGATGGGCAGGGAAACCCCAATCAGAGTGATCTCGAATGTCCCCTCCTCCCTGCCCCCCAGGCCTGGGGGTGAATTCCTGGCTTATTTGTCTCTCCCTCTCCTACTGCTTTGGTGCGGTTAATAGCTCTGTAAGTCAGGAACAAGGCGGGACCCAGGACCCAGCATTTTTCTCATTTCCATCAGAGCAAAGGGATGGAGGAGGAGCCTCATCCCATCTCCCATGAGGGAGAGAGGGAAGTGGAGGAAGAGGGGAATGGGAGAGGGAAGAGACGAAGCTGTTCTTTTTTGTGCAGGTCTCAGACTCAGAGGCAGGCAGCCCTGGCTTTCCGGTAAAACAGAACCAACGCCACCCCCTCCCCTAGCCTCACCCCCATTCAACTTTTCCCTACAGATCCTGTTGCAGAGGGTGGGAGGTTGTATGTGTCCTGAGTTTCCAGTACAGTTTTGCCCTCCCTTTGATTTAGGTGTAGAATTTGTGTCTCCGACCTCTCTCCCTCCCTGCTTGGATTTGCCAAAATGCCAACCACCCAGGCTGGGCTGGTCTCCACCCCACTGTTACCCTCAAGTGCACGGAAGTACAGACACACACACGCACAATCACATGTGTCTGCGCACACACCCTCTCACTGATGACTGGCTGAAGGAGGGAGTCTGAGACTCGGGATTGGGGCTCAGTCTCCCCCGAGGCAGGCCTGGCTCCTTCCAGCATGAGCTCTGGTGTGGCACAATTTGCCCTGGTTCAGGTGCACATGCTGACCCTCTCCCCAGGGTCCCAGGGGTTGGCTATATTCCTCCCATGGCCCATGGGCTCAGCACCCCCACCCCACCAACCTCCTACCCATGCCCATCCCCCACACCCCTGCTTGGTCTTCTGTAGTAGGGATGAGTAGGGATGCCTAGAGAGGAGGGAGCGGTGGCTTTTTCTGGGCTCATCTGGGGCTGCAAACAGTCCTTTCTTCTGAGGCCCCTTTCTATTCCCACACCCCTGCCATCTGCTCCAGTAGAGGAGCCTTGAGCAGAGAAGGGGGACAGAAGTCACGCCACTGGGTTAGTGCTTGACTGGAATGCAAGCATGGAGAGTGTGACCGGCCCCAGCATCCTGTGGGAATAGTTGGGGAACCTCTTCACAGGCTGAATTCTATGCTGTTGTACATGGTGCCAATTTTCTTTTTTAAACAACAAAACAAGACTGGGTCTGTACGTGTCAGTTGGATTAATCTATGGATGAGTGTTGTGTTGTGATTGGCAGTTTTTTGATTCTGTGATTGCCTTTGTTTGGGTCTCTCTTCTTTCTGTAGTTAATTGCTGTACATTCTATTGTCCTCCAACAAGACCCACTCTCTCATCTCCCAGGGTTTCCTTGTCCCACTTTTACCCAAACCCCAGCCTGGGAGGCCACCCCATCCCCAAAATCCTCCCTCCCTGGGGTATTCTAGTCCATTCCAGTGATCATTGACTGGAGGCTTCCTTGGTTCTAACAGAGGAAGAAACTCTAATAGTAGGGGCTTAGGGAAGCTTCCAGACATGCCTTGGCCAAAACTTTGCAGTCTGGCCTCGGGGCCTGCCTGCAGCTCAGCTGTCTCAGCACCCTCAGGACCAAGCCCCAGCTCTCCATTCTGCCTACTGCTGCTCTGGTCTCCAAAGCGCCCTCTAGGTGCTGAGCAGTGTTCCAATTTCTCCAGCATTCTGCCAGCTTTAAAATTTATAACTTAAGCAGCATTACTGCATATGTAATGAAAAATACCATGTATGACAATAAAACCCGTGTACATACCTCCATGTACCTATTTATATACACATGCATTCCTATTATAAATATATAAAGCATGACAACTCTTTGGCATTTCAAGTTTGTGTTTGTTTGTTTTTTTAAATCCTGGAACAACGGCTTAGAAACCTTTCTTCCTTTCCCTTTTTTCTATGTAATAAACATTCATGTGACCTTTCTGGTGGCTTCTTGAGTCCCTGTGTCCTCTCGTCTTTTACATGGGTTATATGTCCTACTGGTGCGTGAATGCCCTCTTTCAAACCTTTTTTCCTACAATCCCTTTTTCCTGGGAGGCTTGGGGAAGTTATTCCTCAATGGCTCATATCTTTGGTAATCTAATCCTTTTGCACCTGGAGTTTCAACACTAAGTTGAGCATCAGGACCCGGACTGGGTTTACCAGTTTAAGTGTAAAATGAAACTCATCTCCTTCTCTTGATTGCCAGGCTGGTTGATGGAGGAAATGTGTGTGACATCTGTGTATTCCAAGGTCTCCTGTGTATATGAGAAGTAAGAGTGGTTAGGAAAGCTTACAACTAGCTGTTCAGTTATAACTAGGGATTATTTGGACTGATGTTACCTTGGAAGAAATTGCAGGGCATGGTCTAAGACCCAGCTAACATTTTCTTTACTCATTGGATGAAGACATAGAGAGCTTATCAAAGAAATAAATTTTTATTATTTATTTATTTATTTTTAAATATTTATTTATTTATTTATACATGCACTGGGTACAGTCAGAAGCACGGGAGGGTGAGAGAATTCACCAGAGCCAGAGCGGGGAGCAGAACAGGCAGAAGGACTGAAGTGCACTGCTGAGGGGGCAGCGGGCGCGGCAGGAGAGGTCTGAGCGCCATGTGGGACCCTCACCAGCAGCCGGGAATGGAACCGGCACTGCAGAGGCTGCGGGCAGCTTCGCAGCCCAGCTCTCAACCACTGTGCCACAGGGGAGGCCCAGAAATAAATTTTTAGATGAATAAATCAGAAATCAAGCAGCTCTTTAACAGACAGAGGCCATCTAACAAGATGAAACCCAATAGTGTTAATGAAAGAGCAGTGCTTGGAATTAAGAAAGCTCCATGCCTCCCTCACACTCAGGGGATTCTTCAGCAGCACTGTGATGTGGTTGACAGAACAGATCCCTCAACTTTAAGTGCATGAGGAGCAACAGGTAGGGATCTAGAACGAAGCTGTTACTGAATCCTCTTAAGGTGAGGGTCCATTTGCCTGGTGACCAAAAGCCAAAAATTTTAGAAACTAAGCTCGGTTTAATAGACCAAGAATTTTATTGACTGACAAGCAATGGAGAAAGAACTCATGCTAAAAACCAAACAAACACTTTTTCTCTGAGCTTCTGCCTTGGGCAGAAAAGTCTGAGAGTATATTTGGGGGGCTGCCACATCACAAAATCAGGATGGAGTCTTGAAGGGAATCTGCAGAAGGTTCCCTCATACACTAGGCACTCTTGCGCACGCCCCTTTATTTCCACATGGCACTTAGTTGCCATCTTAGGCACAGCCAGTTGGGCCATGCTCTGTGGCTACTGCTCTCTTATCTCACATTCCTGAGAAAAGACGCAGCTTGGTGCAAATATTCTACCTCACAGCCACAAGGCCACAGCTGCAGCATTGCATTCAGAGCTGGGTGCTGGGAGGGGGACCTTTCCAGGTGTCCCCCACCCTGCTACTCATACTGCAGGGAAAGGCCCCCCTGACCATTTCCTCAGGTCAGCCCAGCATCCTTAAAGACCCACTGTTCTGGTACCCTGTGTCTATTGAGATGCTACTGTCTCAAGGGCCTCAATGGTATCCTTGTCCCAAAAGAGAGAACCTACTTCAAAGTATGACCTTACTGTGAGACTTCATGTTTAACCACAATGACCCCTTCAAGGCTCCCAAAGTAGCAGTTGTGTCTCATGAGGGTAGACTTTAGTCACTGCTGAAGCCAGGCCTCAAAACCTAAGGCAGCATAAGGACCCAAAGCACTATCAGGGTCACCAGGACACCCTATGGTGCATTTCTTTTGTTTTTTTTATTTTTTATTTTTTAAAAAAGATTATTTATGCATACAAGAGCTGGGGTACAGACCAGAGATGTGGGGTGGGGGAGAGGGGGGAGAGGATTCACCAGAGACAGAGTGGGAAACAGAACAGGCAGATTGACTGAAATACGCTGCTGAGGGGAGCAGCAGGTGAGACAGGAGAGGTCTGCTGCGCCATGTGGGTAGCTCCCTGGCCGGCTGGGGATTGAACTCGTGCTGCAGAGGCTGCAGACAGCTTCATAGTGTGGTGCTTAACCCCTTGCTGCACCAGGGAGGCCACTGTGCATTTCTTGATTTTGTGCATCTTCCAAATATTTAACGTGCTCAGATTATGCTAGGAATGCCTTGGGCAGAAAAGTCTGAGAGTTGTCCAGATGCAGAGGGGTTGGTAGGTCTGCATGATCGAAGATAAAGTTAGTATAAACCGCTTCCCTGAATGTGTGAAAGAAAGGAAAGCTTCAGGCCTACTGAACCCCCTCCCACCCCAATCTGCTCATCCTTGGCGGCGTGGTTGAACTGGCCAGTACTACTTTCCTGGAGGGTGAGTAACTGTGTTCCCCACTGAGCGAGCTCTCTTCAGACCCAGAGGGAAAAGGCCATGACAAACACGAAGTCACCTGCTCCCAGAATTCCCTGCACCTCCAGACTGCAGGCTTGGAGAAAGGTTCATGCTTGCCCATGGCCAGTTGCAGGAAGGGGTATGGAGGGGACATATTGGGAAGAGGAGGTGGGGGGTAGGAAGACCAGGGTTGAGTTTGTGGATTCATCCTGAAGCTGCCTGGTCTTCAGAGTAGAAATGGAGCCCAAACCTGAGTCACAGAGCAAACTGGGGTGAGGACTTTGTCAGGGTGTGTTATTGCTAGTGAGAGAAACTCCACTGGAGTCAGTTTAGGAAAGCAAGAATGGGAAGAAGGGAAGGGGGCGCTCTGCTGAGGAAGCAGCAGGCCCAGGCTGCTTCTGGATGTGTCCTCTGCACACATCTCCTCTGCCCAGCACCATGGCCCATCTTCCAACTCCCCACGA